CAACATACAGTGAACAGGTCAACTTGGCTGGAATATTGAGTGAGGCAGAATAATGTGATTTCAATATGGAAAGATGAATGGGAAACAGACTGGGAAGGTTTTTAAATGCTGAACAGAAGAGTGTTTTAGTTTCTTGAACAGGGGAATGGTAAGAATATACCTCTGCTTTAGGAATATCCATTTGACAGCTGGGTGGGTTGGAGAGGGGAGAAACTGGAACTAAGGAGACCTATCTGGAGGTTGTTGCCCAGAGGTAATAAGAACCTGAGCTAGGCCAGTGGCTGTGTGAATAGAGAGAAGGCACACATGCTAAAGATCCTAAGAATATAGAATTGGCAAAACTTTTTAACTGACTGGATACAGAAAATAAAGGAGAGGGAAGAGTCAAAGGCAATCTCCAGAGAGCAAGCTTGATGGTCTAAAAGGAAACTTGGGAAGGGAGTTAGATAGAGGGGAAAAGAGAATGAGTTCTTTTCTGGATATATAGAGTTTGAGATACCTGCGGAACATCTAGGTGGAGATGTATAGGAGGTAGAAGGTAATTGAAGACTAGGACCCAGAAGAGGTATGAGAGATATATGGAGTAATAAGATTTAACTAGTATTGGTTTCATGGAAGAGGAAAAGGCTTAGTCTGAAGAAAATCAGATGCTAAAAACAAACCAAAAAAAAAAAACCATAAAAGGGGCAGGTAGGTGATGCAGTACTTAGAGTGCTGGCCTTGGAGTCAGGGGGACCTGAGTTCAAATCTGGTCTCAGACACATAACATTCACTAGCTGTGTGACTCTGGGCAAGTCATTTAACCTCAATAGCCTCACCAAAAAAAAAATCAGATGCTTTATCTCTATTTTCATAAATATTTCAAATATTTAAAGACTTACAGAGCATCAGATTCTCTATTAACAATTACAATTACTAAGGAAGTGGGATTCAAAGAGGATTGGCACATTGCTGTGGAAATTACAAGATGGAATGAACCATTTGGCCTTCTACCCTATTTAAGGGAAAGGAGAGCAATATCACATTGGCACTGATACACCCTTCACCACCTTCATTGGCATTCTGTGCTAGAGGCATAAGTTTGTGGGATGGGGAGATTTCAAGAACACTTTTGGGGTGTGAGCTAGAGAAATTGGTCCAGATGGCAAAGCTCCTTGATAGCTAGCAATTCACTCTCTCTCCTTCCTATGCCAGATGAGAACAAGGAGACATCTAGGGTGTCACTCAGTGAAGAACCATAGATGGTACTGGAATATGTCACAGCTTATTTGTATTCATTGGAGCCCCCAACACCCACCTCTATTTTAGCCACAGGGAGAAAAAAAATAATAATGCATTCCAGCAAAAGCCCACAATGCAGATCATTATCATGTGAATGACAGCAGGGATAGAGTTGAGGAAAGGAGAGTAGAGGCAAGAGACCCTGGAATTAAGCTGCTTCTAGCTGGCTTCCTCCTCTGACAGGTAAATTTCAGAGGCAGTTATGGCAGAGGGGATTGAAAGCTGACTTTGGAGCTAGCAAAACCAGGCTTTAACTACTACCTCTGTCACATACTGGCTGTGTGACTCTGAGAAAGTCATTGAAGTAAAAATGGCAGAGAAAGGGCCAACATGCATCTGTAGAGAATGTTTCCACCCCTGGGAGCTCCCATTGATAGAGATCAGCGAGATCTCTTTGACAGGTTTACATCATGAATGAAACTGCATTTTGGAGCATTGCATATTTTTCTTTATGATCATAAACCTTTTTTTTAACCTCAACCTTTTTCTATTTATCTTTACTATTTTATTCTTAATTTCTATCTTCCCATACTGAGGAAGGTACTTTGATACAATCTTAATCATCATTCCATATTCTGAAGTGCAACTGGGCAGACTAATTAATTCTAAATAAAGGCATCTCAGGCAGCAGAGAAAAAACCTTCCTCTGCTGCCATCCTTTCCCCATTAGCCTGGAACATGGCATAGAACATTAGCATAATGCCAAGTTCAGAGGTGGTTGGTGAACGGGTCCCAGCAAACAACTGTGATTGCTTATGGGAAGGGAGACACCTCAGGGTTAATTGCCAACATGTATGCTTACACACACAGGGAGACAAACATGCCTCACTGGCTTCATAAATACACAGAAATCAAATTACCCAGCTAACAGGCTGGATGCAATTTCTTTTTTACCCTTCATAGTTTCAACTCATAGATGGAAGGGTTAAATATAGGGTGGGTTAACTCAGGCCAAAGAGGCTGCTGCTGGTGAGGCTTGTGCTTCACCTTTAAAGTTTCATTGTTTACTTCATTTTTTTAAAAATTTTGGCAAATTAGTCATTTCCTTAGAGGGAAAATAAAATAGTAGACATAGAGCTGTTGATCGCCACATTTTGACGAACTCACGGTTCTTTATTTTTAACTTTGCAGAAATTATCATATACTTATTGTGAAAAGATGTATTCACATTAGTTGTAGATTGTTTGTTCGTTTGGTTTTTTTTCTTTGCATAAACAGAGATTCTAAACCTCCTCCGTGGACAGACTTGAGGGCATCTGGGAACTTGGATAGGAAACAAATTGCTTCTTTATTTCAGTTCAATTGTTTTCCATTATAATCATATTTTTTTAAATTGTGCATTTAAAAATATTATTCTGAGAAGGGAGCCATAAGCTTAACCAGACAGCCAAAGTAGACCATGATAGAAAAAAGAGCAAGGACCTCTGTGTCTAAAAACAACACCTACATGACCAGAATTTGTCTTCCTCACGTTCTGTCATCCTCTTATAGAGACACCCAGAAAAGAGGACCTGGCCAAGGAGAGGTGGTGGGTTTGTGAAGAGCCCTGAAGAGCTATGTATCTGAGATCAAAACCTGGCTGAGTATGCCAGCATTTCTTAAGATTAGAAGGGATTTGGGGGGTTGAGGGTAGAAATCTAGGTTTTCACTAGAGATTTCTTTGGTAGAAGTTCTAAAATTAAGGCTATAGCTAAAAGAATTTGGATAGAGAATACTTATAATCCCCCTTTCATAAAAATATGATGAAGATTCACTTAAAGAAAGTTTGAAAAAAAAAACTAGAAATAGAGATATGTCTATTGTCTGAAAAGTCAAGATACCTTAGATTTTCATGTTATCTATGGGGCACCTAGGGTGGGCAGTGGATATAGAACTGGGCCTGGAAGTCAGAAAACCACAGTTCAAATCTGGCCTTAGAAATTACTGGCTATGTGACTCTGGGTAATCCATTTAACTTCTGTTTGCCTGTTTCCTAATCTGTAAAATGGGAATAATAATAGTATCTACTTCTCAGGATTATTGTGAGGATCAGATGAGATAATGATTATAAAGCACAGTGCCTGGCACATAGTAAGTACTATTTAAATTATTATTAAGAACTTTAGGAAACATCTGTTTTAAAACAAAGGAGATAAGGAATAGTGACTGTTTTCTTTTTTTGTCTTTGTTTTTTCAGCACTTGGCACATTACCTGGGACATAATAGGTACTTTATTGAATAATGCTATGAGGCATTCATTTGCTACAATAGAAAGGGTACCAATTTTGCAACCCAGAGCCCAGGGTTCTAGTCTTCATTTTGCCATTATTATATAGCCATGTGACCTTGGACAAGTCAACATATTTTTAAGTGTATATTATGGAACTTAACTGCGTGACCAGTAAGGTCCTTTTTTGTGCTAAGATTATAGAGTATAAGGTATAAGAGGACTAGGTGAAGACCCAAGTGTGATTTAAAGGGTACTTAGAAACAAATTTTTACACACTCCTTTCTCACTAGTGGTGAGGCAAGAATTTTAAGCTCTTTTCAAAAAGTCTGACCTGGAAAGAGTCTAATTTTATATTCCATCTGCACTAGGACAAAAATGTTTCTGCACCAAGTTCAGATTTGGGTGAAGGGAATGTAGAAAGGTAGAGTCGAAAGAATGATGGATATGAAGTCAGATAATCTGAGTTCAGATCCTAATTCTACCATTTCCAATCTGTGTGATTTTGGATAAGTCACTTTAATTTCTTTAACTATAGATAGATGAAGGGATTAGACTACATAAACTCTAAAGTCCCTTCCAGTTCTAAATTTATAATCTCACAATCCTAAATTATATCTATGCTAATGGCACAGATGCAGCCAGAAGCCTACTTAAACAGCTAGAAGCCCACTTAATTCAATAAATGTTAATCAATTATCTACTATGTGAAAGACACCGGTTATATTATTAATAATAAGCCTGAAGTTTTCTTTTGTAAATTTGCAATGATTTGTTTATAATATCATCTATATAAATTTCATAGTAATCTTTAAGTGGGATTTTTATAATCATCCCCATTGTGAAGCTGAAAAAACTGAATCAACCAGTTTTTCTAGTCTCACAAACCAAATCACTGTTAATTATGGAAAGAGAGCTCTGGCTCCTTCCCCTCCCTTCTGCTTGGTGATCTCCAGTTCTACCCATCTTAAATACTAGGTGTCTTGGATCTTTTCTCTTTTCACAAATATCTAGCGTTATTTATTATTATTTTTTTTTGGTGAGACAATTGGGGTTAAGTGACTTTCCCAGAGTCACACAACTAGTGAGTGTTATGTATCTGAGGCTGGATTTGAACTCACGTTCTCCTGACTGTAGGGGGTCGGTGCTCTATTCACTGTGCCACCTACCTGCCCAGATACCTCCCCTATTCAATGTGCCACCTACCTGCCTAAATACCTATCATTTCAAACCAATTGCTCAACCTCACTGGACCTTGATTTTTCATTTCTGCCAAATGAGACAACTGGATTCTTATGTGGCAGGGCTTAGCACAATGCCTGGCACAGAACAGGTGTTCAATTAATGTTTATTTATAGATGAACTATGCATTATCTTAAGCTCCCAGACAATTCCCAAATTCTATAATTCTATCTCTGCACAAGACAGGCCTTCCATAAATTTTCCACTATTTTTCCCCCTCTGATGAGAAGCACAGAACTATCAAATATGTAATAAATAGAAATCCTTTTACCTTTCACACATTTTCAAATTTTCCCCTGCTGCTTCAGCTAATTAATTATCAATGTGATTTGTGTTTAGACAAAAGGGTTTGTCTCCTTCGCAGTCCATCTGCTTCTCCATAACCTTGCTGTGAAGTTATTGCAAAAAGGAGTTGGTGATAAAGCAATCATCTCCATGGCAACTGTCTGCTATGTCACAAACACAGGACTGTGACCTAACTGCAGGAAGAAGTGGATAAATCTGGGTTCTATTACGGAGAAGAGAAGAGTTCTTAGTCAAACACTAAAGTTCATTATTTTAAGAATTAGAGGATGGGGAAATCAGTCCATTCAGAGAAATGGAGCTAGAGCAGCTCTCTTGGTCAGCATCCAGACTGATGAAATGTATACTTTAAAGTATGAAGTACAATTTTAACATGCCACTTTCTTATACATACAGGTACAATTTATCTGGGCCCAGCTGGGCTGTGTATGGTATATATATCTTATACTGACCTTTCTCTTCTGAACTCATTGATATATGTTATTGATAAGCAATTTAGCATACTGTCTTATTTTATAGTTTCATGTATAAATACATTATGGGCTGAAGTGTGTGTGTATACTTACAGTAACATTTTTTTCATGTCATACACACACACACATGCACACACACATACACACACACAGACACACTTTACTTGACCTGTAATTCATTGATAAGGAGCTGCTGATAAGGAATTTCAACTTCCTTCTGTTCTTCAAAGAAAATGGATGAGTACCTTTTCTGTTTCGTATTGTCTTAGAGTTATCTAAGGCACCAAGAGGTTAAAAGACAGCCAGGGGCATGAGACCAGTATGTGTCAAAGGAAGGACTTGAACCCAGGTCTTCATACCAGAAACACTTCTCTGTCCACTAGGACTCCCCCAGGACAATGCTGTGTACATAATAGAACACTTATTCATAGAAGTGAAGAATTCCTAATATCTAGAAAGACCCTAGAGAGCTGACATCCCCACCACCCACCACCATACATGCACACACCTGCATTTTCAAGTCCATTCTTTTATTAAGCAGTTATTATGTGTAAGTTATTATACTTGTCACTAGGGATACAAAACAGCTTTTGCTGCCAAGGATCTTCCCTCATACTGAAAGAAAAGAACATGAAAACTGTTAAGAATATGCACAATCATTGTAAAGGGAGAGAACATTAAAAAGGACATCTGGAAAGGCTTCGCCTGTGAGTAGACACATCAGTGAAGCTGAGGATTCTAACAGGTGGAGGTGGGGGGAGGTGAAATTGCAGATATGACCCTCCAGGCATAGGGTGGGGGTGGGGGGAATGTGATTAAATATTATGTAAAGAAGCAGAGGTAGGAAATAGAATGAAGGAGCAAATACTTAGGGGAACTGAGGCTCAGAGAGATTAAATGACTTCCTGAAATCATGCAATGAGCTTTGTGATTAATTACATACAATAAACTGTCTGTGCTTTCCACTTGAAAGTGACTTTCAAGTCTTCTCTTGTGTTAAGAAATCAAAAAGACACTTATCTAAGTATTGGCCTCAGTGATTTCTTTATAGACAGTCTTTCCTTGACCTGGTGACAGAGGATTCAGGGGTCATCATTCCTTTCTAAATAAGCCCGGGACCTCTTGGACAGCTGTAGATATGGTTAATGTGGTGGTTTTATAGCTTTTGCTTCATCTACGCCTTCAACTGAAAAATAGCAAGTTTGTTTAAACTGGACTGGCTCAAAGCAAAATGGCTTAGATCATAGTACAGATGGACTTCTGGCCAGAGATGGTGTGTTAAGTGGTGATAGTTACTAAGCACAAAAAATAATTCTCTACTATACTGAGTGGATCCATTTATACAAGATGCTGGATTCTGAAAGGGAATTATGCTTTCTAACCAAAATATATCTCTGAAAGAGAAATAGCTAAACTTTACTGAGTCTAAAAGAGTGAGAAGGCAACTTCTGAAATTGACCCACAAAAAAAAAAAGAGGAAGAAGGAAAGAAGGAAAAAAAAACTGTTACCATAAGTCCTGAGCAGATTGTTACTTCCTTTCTTGGATGGCTAGTCAACTAGTTATTCAACTATATGACATAGTCATTAAATCTTGCTAGCTCCATTCTATTCTTCACCTGAAAGCTTTGCATTTCTCCAATAGTCAGGCACTTCAGGAAACTATATGTGTTGAACATCTGCTGTTTATGGGAAGGCAGAGTCATAGATTCTTAAGAGTTGTAAGGGGCCTTGAGGGTCATCTAATCCTGGAGGCCCTCTCTCCAACCTCTCTCATAAGTGGTCATCCACATAAAGACCTCTAGAGGGGAGACAAATCACAACCTCCTGAGACAGCTTCTCCTAGAAACGTTGTAGAAGGGAGTTCTTTGTACAGACAAGTTTGAACAGATGACCTCCAAAGTCCTTTCTAACTCTGACTCTCTATAATTCTGGATAGCTCTAATAGATAGGAAGATTTTTTTTCTATGAAACCTAAATAGACCTCTCTGTAACTTGGTTCTAATTCCTTGGTCCTAATGCTGCCTTCTGAGGATAGCAAAACTATCAGAATTCCTTTTCCATAAAAACAACCTTTCAAATAAGTATAGAAAACATCACAGTCTCTCCTCCACCCTCTCAACTGTTTCCCTTTCTCTGCTCCCTACCCCTTCCCATCTCCAGGCTTACTTCAAAAGCTCCTGTTATAAATCTTTCTAGTTCTCTTCCTCATTCTATTACCCTTTTCTAGAAGGGCTCTGACTTGTCCATGTCTTTCCTAAAATATGATCCCTGTAACTGAACATAGGAATTCAGATGTGTTCTGACTAGTATGGTTGGGCTATAATCACCCACTTTGGGACATGATAGTTCTAAAATTGAATTAAAATTGAATTAGCTTTTTTGACTTCCATGTCATCCTTTTAACTCATATTGAACATGCTTATTGTACTGGGCCTTGTGATAAAATGAAATAGAAATAGCATGAATAGTTTCTTTACGTATACAAATTTATAATGTAATGGGAGAGGGAGGACCAGCACACATGGAAAATATATTTAAAAAAACTGAGAACACACAGTCAAATGAAATTCACATTGTAGCTTTTCATGGTCATATAAGTAAATGTCAGAGGCTGGAAGTGAATAGAGAAATGGAAGCCAGGATGGGCTAATCAGAGAAACCTTTAGGTAGGAGATGAATTTTAATAATATTATTAGAGGGTAAGAATGTGTTTCAGGGAAGGGATTTTCAAATGAGAAGAATGGCACATTGAGAGGCTGAGAGAAAGAAATGAGCAAGGCATTTACAGAAGAGTGAAATCATTACATTACCTCCACTTCCTCATCCTTTAATTTAGTTGTTTTGACCTTAAATGATTTTATGGAATGATCTATATCCCATGTCCATGTGCCTTGAATAATTCTGATCTGGTGTTAAATATAGGCATATTTCCCTAATCATATTATTGATTTCATGAAAACTTGCTAGGTGAAACAACCTTAGAGAGGCAGTTAATTCCTAGGATTAGAGCTGCTGACCTGAGTAGCTGTTGCTGAGAGAGGGAATGCATAGGGCGGTATGTGGGAGGCCAGAGCTAGAGTTCACTTGATATGGTATCACCCAAATACATTCCATTAGAGTTGTGGAGTATGTCTACTATTAATGACTACATTGTGCAGAGATAATGTTGGGCTAATACTGTGTACTGTACTATTATATTTAGGTGAGTGGTACTTGAAGATGCAGAAAATCTTTAACCTTCAAATTGATTTTGTTAAATGGTTGCTTAGACTTCTGCAATAATAATAGCAACAACTGACATTTATAAAACACATTCATTTTAGAAGTATTCACAAAAGAAAAAAAAGCCCTGAGAAATACATAGTACAAGAACCATCCCCATTTGGCAGAAAAGTAAATTTTATGTAGCTCGCTCATGATCTCACAAATGGCAAATCTAAGGGGCAGAATTCAAATCCAAGTCTCTTGACTCCAAGTCCAAGGGCAAATTAACTTTAACATGCTTCATCTGGGGGCTGAAAGCAGTTCATGGATTTTATAATTTAACTGAGTTCTTAAAACTAATAATTTGCCCACAAGGAATGAGCAAACCAAGGCTCACAGGCCATCCATGACCAGGAGCTAAGAATAGTGTTTACTTTTTAAAATAAAGTTGTAAACTTAATTGTACTTTATTTGCATTTAAAGTTACTTCATTGTAAAATTGTACCACTTTATTTAAAAATATAAAAATCATTCTTAGCTCTTGGGTCCTACAAAAACAGGTGATGAGCCGGATTTGGCCTGTAAAGCATAGTTTACTGACCCCTGATTTATATAGCTAATGTTTAGAATTTGTTGTAGCATATAATTTTAGTTGATTTGTATGAGCACATAGTATATATGTATAACTAACTAAGAGAAATTTTTTTTTGGTATGTGGATTATTGAGTTCCTGCACGTACTGGTAAGCACACTCTTACCCATGCAGATTTATATGATTTAAATTCTAATCAATTCAACAAACATTCAGTAAGCAAAAAACATGTTCAAGGTACCTTGTTAGGTATTGGGAACAAAAACATGAGAATATGACTGTCCCTGCCCTCAAGGAACTTATAATTGTTGTCATTGTCTTTTTCTAATAACAATATTCACACTAGTAATAACAATAATAACATCAGCATTTATATACTGATTTAAGTTTTTATAAAGCACCTCACCTCTTTTGATCTTTACAGTAACTCTTTAATTCTAAAAATATTATTCTCATTTATAGCTGAAGCTCATAGTGTTTACCTGACTTGCCCATGGTCATACACTTCATTAATGCCAGAGGTAAAATTTAAATCCAGATACTTCCTGATTCTAGCATCTACATGAAGAGTCTTACTCAAGATTAAATCAGTTGCCTGTGAAATTAGAAGAGCAGAGAATGGAATTGATAGATGACTTTTAAAGTACAGGTTTTATATTTGATATAGCTTGGAGAGTATTGAAGATTTCTCAGGAAGAGAATATTCCAATGGAGTTAGTTTTTATTAGCAGATTTTTTTAAATTTTTTTTTTTGCTTAGGCAGTTGGGGTTAACTGACTTGCCCAAGGTCACACAGCTAGTAAGTGTCAACTGTTTGGTCTGAGTCTGGA